ATTACAATATACATTTTTGAAAGCATTCTTACTTTACAGCATTTCTTCACACCTGCCTAAAACTTTTGCACAGTATTGTATATTTTCCTGAAATTATGTGTGTAGCACTATAAATATAGTACTACTGCTGTGCTAGCATGTACTCAAAGACGTTCCATATTTTATTCTAAGTGGAGTCTACCACCAGATACTGTTTTGCACCTGGGGAAGACAGGCAAATAGATATGCATGCAGTAAATATCACAATTTTACAACCCATTTTTGCTCAGACATACTTTGTGACAGCAGCTCTAGAGTGGAATATTTTTTTGAAACTCTGCACTGTTGTGTGCAATATTTAGATCTTGGAAATTAATCAGCTCTGTGTGATTCAACGGATAATCATAACATCAAATACAGCACTTTTTTTTAACGTAATTGTTGGTTAGCAGTGGCTCCATATGGAGAAAGAATAAAACCATGAAAGGCCCCATGCAAACTCTGGTTGCTTACACCAAGAATGATTTACTATCTTACTAAAATTTAAACCACAGCTGACCCAGAATTACAATTTGGCAACTGACTGTAGCTGCAACTCAGTGAGATAAAAAAATGTTGGCAGATTAATGAGTTTTAAACAAATACAGAACATTACCAAACTGAATAGTCATCACTAAGTGTTGCCATTTGGGAATTAAATTGTCTCTAAAACATGACAGAAACAATACTAATCATAACATGATGTATTTATGAAGCATTTCATTAACATTCTTTTTAAAATACTAGAAACTCTGAAAAATCTTCATCCATGTTGCAAAACATCCAAAGGAACACTGAACCTGACTTAACTTTCTGCCATGAAAACAATTTTTCCATTTTAAATCATTAAGTAATTACATAAATATATCCTATAATTAATTAAGAATTAAATCAATCATTATTTCCAAAGTATTCTGTATGACACTGGCAACATATAAGGCTATATCCAATATTGGCTGTACACCAGGAGAATACACACTGCAGATAGAACAGATTTCTCTCCTGCAATTCTCCATGAAATCTGGTAAAACTGCATAAGTGGACTCCAATAATACTGACTACAGCCCATATTCTCCAAAATAAGACAAAATTGTCTGAGCTTTCCACACAATACTGCAAAGCATAGCTATCTGTTTTCCTTTTCTTCAGAATTATGTATCACTGACTAGATGAATAAATGTCTACAATCTCCACTTGTACCCAGCTATAGCCCACAGCACTTCCAAGGACATCTAGTGATCTCCTTGATTCCTCAACCATCTTATCCAGCATCTTCCCCTTTCTCTACTTCCCTCAACCTTGCCAAGCAAAGTAGTTTTTTTGTGTCAATCAGCTCAAATCATATTCCCAAAGTCTGGGAGTTTCTGCTTGAAGCAGTCAGTCTTTATTTAGTCCAGGACCAATTGTGTGGTACTTCTGAAGTCCATGGTATTCTGACCAACCAACTTCAGAAACACATCCATCTTCCTTCTTTACTACCAGAAAATCACTGCTTTAACGACTCAGTTTTCTGCTTTCTTAGAAATATCTTTAACTTCATTTATTTATTTTATTAAATTTGTATGCTGCCCATCTCCCCCGGAGGGTGACTCTTTCCTTTCATATCTTGTCTAAGTTTGTCACTGATTTCCATCTCATAATTAATCTCCTCTTTACTTCTCCTGCATACTGTCTATCTTTATTCTCATTCTTTATTCTTGCTAAATAAAAAGCTTAAATAATTATTTCACTTATATTCTCCATTATCCATTTTATTGTAGCTAACTGGTCTGTTGTCAGAGATCAGTC